TAGTGTACGAGTTTAAGAATCATTTGCGACAGGAGGTAGAATAACCCGTCTCCATCATTCAAGTTCACTTAAATAATTCTTACTATTACTGACCTACTTCAAATAAAAGAAAGTTCTGCAGCTTCACAATTCAAAGCGACATAAAAAGTGAGATTAATAAAATAAAACAAAGAACCATCTAGTCCGTCGTTAGCGTATCTCAAAACAAAAGAGAACAGCTGCCGAAACGAGAAACAGAAAGTTCCTTTGCTTAAATAATTACTGCATTTATCCACAAACGGTGATAACGAACACTACGACAGTTACGTACTTTTATAAATGAACCGAGCTCCTTTTTCCGACGTGCAAACTACAGTGCTAAGTTTAAGCCGTCCTGTTACTAAAAGAAAAGTTTTGAAATAATCACCGTAAGTCGAGAGAGCGAGAGAACTTCTGCATTAACAGAACTGTTGCCAAAAATGTTGCAACGACATCTGATTCTTTAGTGTTTCTCTTTTTGTGACGCAAAGAGTATTTTAAATGATGACCACATTCATGTTTACTTTGTACTTTATTTAGTCATTTTCAACACAGAACAAACATTTTAAAAGATTATGCTCAATAATATTTCATCACATAACAACATTAACTCGTTTTACTTTTTAGCAATGAATAATAACCAATTTTTAATGAAAACGATATAATATTTATAGCATTTATTCCTCAACGAAAACCGGTAATACAGCGTTAAAGAGCAGTCCGAGGCATTCGGAAGCACTTACGACGTATAAAGGTCACATAGAGTTGCATAAGAGACGGGCAACCACCACGAGTTAGTTTCCTGGCCACGGAAAAACAGTCGGACGGTCGCGTCGTGACAGCTACGAACGTGCCGCGCCTCTATAACAAGGTTGACCGGCGACATCGCAAACTGCCTAACTGACTGACTTTAATGAAGTTTGACTCTGCATTGCCGAAGCGGTGCACAAAAGAGATAACTAAGCAGGTGCAGTTACTCAGCTGAATTTATAGTTTTCTCCGATTAGGTATGGGTCTTTTGGATGATTGTATCATTATTCTTATCATCTTCGTTCTTTTGTGACATTACCTCAAGAGTTTGACTCTTTTAAGTTTTAGATTTAAGGAAATAGGTCCACTGTTTTGACGATTCATTTCTATTCGTTCAATGTGTAAAAGTTGCTTTAGAAAGCCTGTCTTCTTTAAGTTGATAGTGTCCTAACAATAAAGGACATTAAGTCTAAGACAAAAAATATCACAATATTCGTTCGTTTCAACCAAAACGTGGCAACCGACGGAAACAGGAAGATTGTTAGTAAAGTTATATTTTTCCTTACACATTTCAATTATCCTTGAAGTCAATAAACAAGAGGCATGTGTTGTTATTATTAGATGATTACGAGGGCCACAATCACCGTAAAGCAACCTAATAAAATAGTATAATAATTAATACTACTATTGAAACTACCATCTTACTCATTTAAAAATAGAGATACATTAAAGAGAAGTCAGTAAGTATAAAAAATCTTTATAGTGACATAAACTTGGAAAAGTGCCTCAAGGAATTGCCACTACATACAGCTGCGAAAGGTTTTAGCATTATATCTAACGACACCAGTAAAACGGCACATAAACTAATAAATTTTACCACAACACACCGTATCCTCGACCATATTGCAATAAAAATGCAAAATGAATTGGTTAAAATGTTGCAGTATCCAGTGAGAAATCAGAAAAAAGTCCGGTTTAATGAAACCATGAATATCTGCGGTGGCAAAGCTGTGTAGCTTCCTGAACTAGAGCGCAGTTCACACAACCGCACCATTATTATTGTACAATTTACAACCGTGAAGCGGTAAACAAAGGAAGGTGCGCTGTATTTACGGAGGAAGTTTCAGAACGGATAGCACCCACAGTACAAGAATTTTCAAGGTAAATAGTCTTCGCAGTCTTACCGATTTTACGCCAAAGGGCACACGACGTTTGTTGATTGTTTATCGAGAATTCCGCGTTAATAGAAAATAGCTGTTTGTTCCGTACCATTTCACATACGCGACACATCCCCTCGTTTCAAAGAACTTTCAAGTTGCCAAGGAAACAAGTGACAGAAATGCCTCGACTGTCTTTGCTTTGTTCTACTGGAGGATACAATATTTATAGACAATTTAAAATGTAACACGCTAAAGTATATTACCTACACTTGGACAGCAAAATTTAAGTTTTATATCACACATTTTAAGATTTTTTTATACCTCATAAATATGTAAGGAGTTGCAGATTCGCCGCTCGCCATTCGCCTTGTGGTGCGACGGGCGCTGGCCACTGTTTTTCTCATACAATTTACAACCGTTAAACTGGCAAACAAAATGCCGGCAGCTTATTTACACGGCGCCGCCAAAAGGAAGTTCGTACGAACGGATGCTATGCTAGTAAAGGAAACAGACATAAATCACCGAATTTACGACAAGTTTGTGAAATCTTATTATTATTTAAAAAGAAAAACACGTTTGCAAACAAGCTGGTCGCGCCTCGAAAGGTTCGCTCCCTAATAGGCAATTTAGAAAATTAAGCTTTGTTTACGAAACAAACACCCGGAACTTTTAACTCGGGTAACGACGACGCTATATTGGAATAACAAACGATAAGTAACAAATGTTGTCTTTGAGTCATATTGTGCCAATAAGCAAATTACTTTAGCAGAACACAAAAACCGCGAGCGAGGCCGGAATCCGAAGAGATCCCGTGTTTATGTTGACCTAGCAACTTAGGAGTTGTGTAATCCGACAATTTGCCGTTCCTAACTCGCAAACACAACAAAACAAAGCGAACATATTCCCGGAGCTGAAAGGAAGTTCACTCGAAAAGGCAACTAGCTGCGGGGAAACCTTATATTGTTGAATTTATGATATGTTCCTACGCCGTGTTCCAGTTTCTGGGGTCATTCGCGCTGCTATCTCCGCGATATTTCGTTGAAAATAATAACAATTCTGATGTGGCCGGATCACCACGTAATGGGACCCACATATGTGAGTGCAATTTCATATCTCTCACGTCCTCGAATAAGTTCCAATGGATATATAAACTGATTGGGATTATAGGCCAATAATTCTGAGTTGTTCGCTATTTGGCTCCGAGCAGCAATGAGGACGGGACGGAATGTCCCAGATAAGTGTTTATGAGCCAATTAGTGGCAAACGAAATGAGGCCTATCGGGCTCAGCGTAAACCTGATAATGGTTAAGATACGATCACGCGCCCGAAAGCGTACTAACTACGCACACACTATTAAAGAGACATTTCAAAAGCATTCAATCATCCAAGTTATTTATGAGTTTAACCTAGTTCCATTACACTCGTTTATGATTAATGGCTGTATAGTTTCGATATCGCGTCAACTTGACGTTAACATATACCATAAGCGTAATCGGTGATTACGTGTATGTTGGTACTTAATTAACAATAAAACCAAAGTTGCATCGCAAAATATTATTTTATTATCAGACCGGATCTACTTTCTATTTAATAAATGAAAGTGAAAACCATCCAATATACGACGGTTACCAATATGTCGCACGTACTACCTCGAACACAAATACAATATGGATAGGGAGGTCAACCGAGTAAGAGCAAACAAAATTAATCTTGGTTAACAACAGGCACATCTTTAGAAAAAAATAAGGATTTTCCTTCACACACATCTTTCTAACATCTTGTATGTTGTTAATCGTAATCTAATACTAAGTTGAAATTGTGCAAATGTCGCCTGACTAGATCGCGTGGCGTCCTCGAGCCGTGATTGCAAGTTGTTAACTAGGCAAGTTGTTAGATTACTCGTGATCCATTTACAGTGCTCTACTATACTTGACGGATACAGTTACGACCCAGTTAAGTAATTGTAACTTAGACTACATCCAGTTTGAATTCAGAGACTAAAGTCAAATTTCATATGAACGTAGGCATTATGTTCAACTCGCTTTGCTTTATCTTTTATCCTACTTTGAAAATAGAACGCTCAACATGCAAATTTTAATAAGGTCTCTTTCTTTTTTTAGAACCTAGTCACCTAGTTGAGAGCATACTCAAGCTCCAGCTGCCGGATACTCGACGAAGTAGTACCTACTTATGCCTACTTTTAGCAACTGGTAAGTCTAAGACAGTAGCTATAATAGTCCTTATAATCAGGGAGTTTAACGTTTGTTTTAATTAGATGAACCAGTGAATGTTGATAATGGACTTGTCTAAATAATTATAATTTTTTCGCTACAATAAGAAAAAGTCTGACCAAGCCTAGGTCCATGTGATTAATGTTCCCGTTCCCGTCAAACGTAATCTGGATTTGGCAACGTAATAAAGGTGTAATGAAGGTACATTGCAATATGAAAGGCTTATACGGAAGCATGCATTTTTGCTTGAATAATGTTTAGTCACATTCCTGATTGTACAAAGAGTTTCAAAGCTTCCGAGAAATTGTCCTACATTTTAACAGGTTTTTGTTCTACAGAAAGGTTTTAATTCTATTATTGTTAGACAATGGCTGTTTGTAGTTTTGTTTCAGCGACAGAACGCAATGTCGCGGTTGCTGTTGTCTACCACTGAATCATACTTTTTATTTACGTCGCACGCTTAGTTGTCTTTTATTCATTAGTACTGTATTCATAGCTACATTTCTGGTAATTGAATAACTCTGTAGCAGAATTAAAAAAATAAAACTGCTTTCGTTCCTGCAATATTTAAAAAAGGCCGCCAAAGTCAGATGTTCATAAACCACCACAATACCACTTCAGAAGTCCTAAACGTAAAGCACATTTGAATAAAAGCCCACTGTCATTACAAACAAGCTGAATAAAGACTTAATTAATCTGAGTCCCGAGCGGTAAGCCGCGGCCCGCGGCCCGCGAGCACACAGTTGTGTATTCATTAGCATTAAGGACGGTTTCATGGCAACTAGGGTTAGTTGAATCAAAGTCGACATTCAAATTAGATTATACTAAAACTTCATTGTAGGCGTAAAGGACGAAACCAACTTAAACGAGAAGGAAGTCTCGACAGTCAACTACATTCAAGTGTGGAAGAGCCAAGCTTCGATACGGATGGGTCAGCTCGACCGGAGTGATACCACGGCCTAATAGAATACCGGCGTAAAATAACCACAGCGTTGTGTTTGTCTCTCCTACCCCTTCCCAATCCTTATATCCGCAACCCTTCCCCAAAAAACCGGCAACAAACTCGTAACTCCTTTGCTGTTGCGGGTGTCCATGGGCGGCGTCAATTGCTTACCATCAGGTAATCGGTCTGCTCGTTTAACGATTTATTCCTTAAAAAAAACATACAAGCAGTACTTAAATATAAACGAAACTCTCCAATATAAAACAAATTGATATAAAAACAACACAACGTTGATGAAAACTTCCACGCAAATGCTAATCATCGGTTCGCGTGTCCGCTTTGTACATTTATTCTGTCCTCAACTAAGAGTTAAAGATCAACGTTTTCTAAAACGAATTTACAATCTAGCGTTAACCTTCCTCAGCACAACACAGACAGGAAAGGCTACTTGTGTAATAGTACAGCTGTGAGTCAGCATTAAACGGCTATCCTTTGTAACAGAACTATTTATTTACAAATAACTCCGCCAAACTTTTTTCTCTCTAGTCCAGACTCGAGTTTACAAGAGTGAACTCTTCCGTGATAGGGATGCTCCAGTTTCGTAACAAGAACAGATTAATAAAGTTTCAAGTGTGTGTACACACTATTGTTTAATAAACTTAATTTTCTGCATTGGATTTTTATACAATAGGTTATTACGGTGCATGATGAGGAAATATGGTTATCAAAAATAGCCATTATGTTTTGTCAAAAGATTTTTTATCGTGATCTCACAGGAAGGTCGCGTTTAGCATGCAACGGCCTCCGTGACAATCGTCCAAATTGCGGTTTTAGCATAGTTTAACGTAGATCAGTCAGTTCCGTGAGATAATTGCCAGCACATCGCCGGTAAACCGAAAATAGACCTATGTTCACTATCCGACTAGATTATTAACGAAGCAATGCTGGCTAGAAAAATAAATCAAGTTTATTTTAAAGCAAGAATAAAATGTGTTCTATGTGCATCCATAAACAATACAATTTCAGAATTTCAAATACATAAATCAATGTCTTGTACATGAAAATAGGTTGATTTTGAAAATAACAAAATAGATTGCGATGCTCTGGGCTGTTAATGGGGTTTGGTAATTTTTGTTATTTTTTACTTACTAGGCAGTTAGAAACCCCACGAAAATAGCAACCACACAAATATCTTTTATTGGGCAATTTGCAACAAAGTTATATCATCAGAAAACTCCATAAATCGGTGGGAGAAACGTAAACGGCCAGCGATTACCGGCCGGTAGACATCTACCGAGACAATAAAACCAAAATATGACAGCTGACAATTTATCACCATTACGATGTAATACTTACTTCAGCAGAGAATTTATTATCCGTTGAAGAGCTAAGGAGATTTGCGGAAGCAGATATTACTCAATGTCAAGGCCCTATTCTGATTATAACAAGTTCTTTGTCCACCGACGTCAAAGATAGGATCTTTCAATTAAATGATTTTCAGCTTCTTGTTGTTCAATTTATAATAGCTTAACCAAAAGTCGAATCATAAGGCATTCAACAACAACGCGGAATCATAAGTCCATTTGGCAGTCATGAGAGCTTTTAATGCTGTTTTGGAAATAGGCACACTACAAAAATAATTAACTATGTTTCATAGGCTACGATGACTTACAAATCAATACAGTTCCTGTTTGTCCAGTTTCATTCGTTATGTACTAGAAATTTAAAAGGCGGATATGGACACATTACCATGCTTATAAATAAAGTACTTAGGCAGTGAACGGTTAACCTTGCTTTGTCAATTCAGTTCTTACAATAGAGAATATTATAATATTAGGTGGATTGTATAAATTAGTTATGATACGATTATTTTTTATTTTAATTATCTGTTCAACTATACTTTTGACCTCGTTATTGAATCCGTCTTGGTATCATTTAGAAATCTGAAAGTCTGGAAGTAACATTAAACGAATCAAGTAACCTTCATGAAATAAAACGTCAAATATTACTTTTCAGTTATGTGATCATATTTTGTAATTTAAAGCGGTCACAATCTATACTATCTATATTAATATAATAAAGAGGTAAAATTTGTAAGTTTGTAAGTTTGTATGTACGGGGTAATCTTTGGAAACGCTAGTCGGATTTCCAAAATTCTTTCCCTGATAGATAGCTACAATATTCCTGAGTGCTATAGACTATAAAAAATCACGCTACGATTAAATGGGACCGAGCAGCGGGTGAAACCGCGCGAGAGTAGCTAGTTAAATATAAGATTCCTTCCTCACTTGTGGAAAAGTATTTTTCGAGAAATTCAGTTTCGTATTTTAAGTTTTCATTTCCATATCATTGGAACCAGCAGCAGTTTCTTGAAGCAATTAAGGCTCAGCATTTATTACGCGGGACTCATTAAATTAGTAGAAATCAGTAGCTAGGATGTAAGAAACTCATAAAATTATTGATATAATGTAGCCAAGTGCTAGCTACTTAGAAATATATAATTTGTATTTAATGTTTACTCTGTTGATGTTTTCGATTAGACAATACAAAAAATAGTTTTACAATTTAGACAATGTTATATATTTCCTCAGGGAAAATAATTTATCTTAAGCGCTGATCATGATGCCTCATTAAACGAAAATAAAAAGTTCCCAATTGTTTAAGTTTTTCCTAGCGTACGTACATAGTCAGTCAAACAAGTCTTTCAAGTTCAGCCTAGTTAGTCGGTAAATAACCAAATAATGACCCAGCTTATGAAGTAACAATGACAGTTTCCAGAGTTATAGTTTCGATAAAAAGCTTAAGTATAACTTCCTTATTTAGTACAACAATAAATTACCAACATAACATAAATAGGTTAAGGCGTTATAATTATATAAATAAATGTCCTGCCAAGCGTGGGGATTATGCCCCTTCCCCCCTTCTTTTAAGGGCGACGACTTTGTTCAGCAGTGGAGGTCTTCCGGCTGATGATGATGAAATAAATATGTAGTAGTAGTATTTATGTAAGAATATAGATTATGTATTGGGTATTTATTTTATAAACCATACCACCATATACCAGTATAATTATATTATTCTGTATATATATAAATATTTATTTATTTTAGTGTTTTTGTTGTATTTTAAATCTTAATTTATCTTCCCAAAGTTCTCTTCTTGTTGCACCTACCATACTCTCTCTGCATCACCCTAAGGTTGACTGGTGAGAATGCCTACGGCATTAAGTCCGCCTATGTAATGTTTTGTTGCATAAAGTTTAAATAAATAAATAGTACACAATAAACACTTACGAAGTATCTACAATGTTTTTGTGCTGTAGGTCATGCATGATCTCTATTAAGATATGGCCTCCGCTAGGGTGGCCCTGGTGTTAAAATTGGTAGCTTTTTTAGAGAATCGACGGAACCTTTAGAATAAAGCTTCAAGAATTCAACATATTACCATCCAACACGTCATGAGAACTGTTCTTTTGAATATACTAACTTTTTAAATTCCAGGATTGCAAAACTATTCATATTATTTATAGACCTATTGAGTAATATTTATTTAATATATTAAAATAAACCTGTTAGCTCTGTTCTTGCTTTGTGGTTTAGCGACCTTGTGTCGAGCGAGCGAGCGAGATTATACACGTGACTGGTAATTTAACCATTGTGTAAAAACGATTTAACGATCGTTTTAAACTTTAATGAAGGTAATTTTCTAAGGAAGCCAATGTTTAATTAGTTTTGAAAGATACATAGATTTAATCCAAAACTTGTAACGTTTTTGGCAATACCCGGTGACTTTTTCTGTGGAATATGAAGTGAAAGTGCCGCCAGCCGAAATTTTTGCAGAGGTTTCTCAAATAAAATACCTACCTACTACACTTAAAACGTCACGATTACATGGGTAGGACTGTGAAGAACGCTATTCATATCGAGATTGGACATTCGACAGCGTCAGGATGACGCCGGCCCGGTCCGTTTATCGACAAAGTTGAGCTATACATGTGCACCCGTCCAGAAAGTTCGAGCTTCTTTTACGTAATGCGGACCCCACATAACGCATTTTCGCGTCGATTCATTACGCCTCAGCCGACCGTAAAACTGACCTCTTCCAAACTGTGACTGTCTTCGAACTCCTTGACGAGTGGGAAGCCGTTTCGACTCGAAGTTGTGTTGAGAGTCGAAATGATATTAGGTATCATGAACTTATGTAAGTAAGGATGTCTACTGAAGTGAGTATTATGTTAGCACTAATAAAAGTCCAGAAAACTAAAAACCATTTTCCATTCCAACTGGTCCAAGTTTTAAAAGCACTTATGTAGTACTAACATACCTCAGAAAATTCTTAGCTTTTTGTTGATGTGTGAAAGGAAAAAAAATAATTAGGTAGCTGATCATTCGTTAAAATACAAGAGAGTAATGAAAAACTAACATTTCGAGTCAGACAGAATACGGTGGATAGAGGCAGATAAGGAGCCTTTGTATCCTTAATTAACAAGAAACTGAGTACATTTCTCAAACAATACATTAGTAGAGTTCCACGTTCATTCATCCCTAGACTGGCTCGATGAACGGAATGAAACGGAATGGCCCGCAAGGCAGAAATCATCAGTCATTGCGCAACACAAAGTTCTTTTGATCGTGTTGTGGCAAAAAACGACCCCGACAAATGTTTGGGCAATGAGCACGACGTCATGTCCAGCGACCGTTCATCGTGCCACTCGCTGATAACTCTAAAGATAAACCTGTTACGACAACATCATTACGCGCTTGTCCGACAACAGTCTCAACAAAGTTAAAAAGTTTAAAAACAATCACTTAGCCAAAGATTTACATAGTGTAATATTATAGACGAAATAGCTTTTGTCGCGCGGTTTCAATCGCTGCTCGGCTCCTACAACTCGTAGCGTGATGTTTTAAAGTCTAAAGTCTTCCTCGATAAATGTACTAACAAACACAAAAAGAATTATTCAATTCGAACCACTAGTTCTGGAGATTAGCGCGTTTCAAACAAACTAAAGCAATATAATGCTAGGATAGATATTACCTACCTACTTTAAAAAATATGTAATTATTACCCTTTTGCTGGGTATCTCTATCTAGCCGCAAAATAATTCAACAAAATACTGTAATTATACAGCAATCACGCGACTAAAGGTCAGGTCAGTTGCCAGTCTAGTCGTGCCGATCAGTTTTAAAATGTCAAAACTTCGCCACGTTCGGCGAAGGCAAAATGTGAGCTCTATTCCACGCATAATTCTTATCTTAAATCTTTTTCTGGTTGTTGAAAAATCACGAACAGTTTTAAACTTCCTTAAACCTAGATTTTTGAGAATAAAGGATTACGTCTACATTTCATAGCGAGGAACGCACTGTACCCATGAAATCCGCCGGGATTGCGGGTGCAAACGCAAGAATGTACCGCGGTTCCAGCTCGGAGTAGGAAAAGGAATGGGGTGGTATTTGTCAGGAGTCTGACACTCCCTCGCGCCGCACTCAAGGCGGGAAAGGTAATTTCATAATCATCACCCCTCAAACAAAAACACATCATAGAAACACCTATTACAGGTAAACTTTTCCAATGAAAATTTTATTTACGAACAATTGTAATCACACCTTTTATTCCCCGAATAGTTAGTTCAAGGTCAAGTCGAATAGTATCATCCTCAATCCTCTTTATCATATCTAATTAATATCTGATGAAAGTAGAATAAATATCAGAGATACATTATCAAACCGCCATTTAGTGCTCAATAGGCACATTTACGGTAACCAGACCTGCTGGCTGTCGGAAATCGTGTTAAGTCTGGTACTTGCGCGCCAACCCTACTTATCGTGTGTCGAGGCCATTGCTACCATTGCTCTTTCGAATTATATGACTTTTATCAAAATTCTGGAAAACAACAAGATTTAATTTAAATGCTGTTTTAAGAATACTTATATTTTAAATAAAGTAATAAAATAGAGAGATAGGAGGAGATATATGATTATTTTGTTTTTTTTTTCTGTAAATTATAGATGCTGTCTGTCATTTACAGGTTGTAGCCTATTGAATAAAAAACAATGCCTGAACATTAGTCTCCTAACATTTTTCAAAGTTACTGTAGTCAGTTATGAGAATCACAATCAAAGCAAGCCACAAACTTGATATTAGTACACCAACTGTAGAATGTTAGCCTATTATGTCCATATAATAAAAACTAGAGTACAAGTCTTATATCTTAGTGGTAGAGATCAAAATGGGGTGTCACAGAGATCACCTGGGATGATGAATTGTTTGATTTGTTTTTGCACACAAGCCTATGTTTTGATTAGCATGTGAATAGTTGAATAGTTGCAGATAGTATGCTAGTATTCAACACATTGTTTCATGTGTGGAGCTCACACCATCAATTGGGAACTAATTCATTTCTTTCTTCCTTTCAATATAACAGATCTGATAAGATACAACCAAATCTGTTTTAAGATAATAAGTGTGCTTATTTATTATTTGCTATTAATAAATCTTATTGGTGTGATTTCTTATCTGATAATAATTACTAATAGTAAACAAGATTTTGCTATTAAATCCAATTAGAATCACTTTTCCACCTCTGTATGTTTATCTGTTGATTTCAAACAACAGAAAAAAGTCACAAACAATATAAGATGCATTCTTACTCAGTAACTATAAACAGCTTTGAGCTAATATTTATACTTTTTAAACAAAGCTAACAAATATAGAAGTGAAACTATTGGTTATGACCGACCAGTGGAATGGCATTGGATTAAATGACCATTAAAGTTTAAGAATTAGTGAGGGAAGTTAATTTTTAAATAATCAAGTACTTAATACTTAATATTCTTAAAGAGCCAGGGTCAAGTAAAACAATGATAATTACATGTAAAATATGGCCTTTGACACTATTTATCTATAAGTAAATCCACATTCAGTAAAATAGTATTATTTTTAGTTAGTATTAATTTTTAGTTTAATTATATTATACTTTATAAAAGTATCTTTAAATGAAATATAAGAAATAGTTACCAAGTTACTCATGGTTTTTTTTTTGGGAACCGGGTAGCCTAGTGTGTGCTAAGGATATATACCTATTCATTGATTAGTTGAGGATTTTATTATGGTTATATTACATGCAAAGCATGTTATCCACATGGTGTTCAAATTATGTCATTCATTAATAATATATGGCAAACTTCCACACCTCCACCTGTTGTCAGTGATACTTATGAATAAAGAAAAGAAATCCTATTATGCACGATGTTGTAAGACCAGTATTCTGTTACTCTGGCGTTACTTCCTTGATATCAAGAGCAAACAACTTTCGCTGCGCGCGCGCTGCTAGCTTGTACTAGCTGGCGTATGCGCCTCTTCCAGTACCACACCAGTTTAACAGCTACCCAAATGTACCAGCACTACATCAATTACACCTACAGTTAAATTACGCAAGCCTAGCACTACCAGAACCCGGCCAATCATTTAAACAACCAGCTCACGGTTCAACACCACTGTCCACGTAACACCTGAAACATTTCTCTGTTTACGAGTACTTTGTGCATGAATAAAAGAGGAAATACTCACCGATATGTTTATCGCTTCAAATCCCAAACAATATAAAAACTGTCACTCACACGTTAGAACACAAAACACAGACTATTCACCTCTTGACATCTGACATTGTTCATTAAACGTAAAGAAATATCACTTTTATATTTTCACCATTAAGACGTAGGGATAAAGCGTTATCATAAAAACAATAAGATATAACAAAACTTGTGCAAAACGATCGCAAAATAACGATAGAAAAACGTAAACAGCTACCTACTTTGACAGAATCATTCAGTGAACTGACACTTGTTTTGTAGTTGCCAACTGCAAAACCACTTTCGCCTTCACTTCAACCTCCATAAATGCGAAGTTACCAACATTCAGATATTAAAAAGAAATACTTTCCTCGTTATATTTTGTTATGTGACAGAAGTAGAAAAAAGTTTCAAAATCTTATAACAAAAACCTTTTATTATTTAGTTACAAGTCTTCCCGTTATAAAATCAGACAAATAGAATAAATGACAAAAACTTGAGTTAATAAATATAAATATATATATATATATATATATTTGAACATATGACAAAACATCAATGGAATTTAAGTTGACATAAAAAGGATAATGTGCTTAGCAGTCTAACACGACATACGCAATTCAATTCTAGATTTCTAATAGGAATCAGTTATTATCCGTTTACAACAATGCGGTATAATGTCTATCTTTTCCAATGAATTATAATTTTCCGACTGTACCTTACATTGATATATTTACAACAGCAACACTTTCAAAACAGCTGTCATTTTCGTCGTCATCAGCAATCTGTCATTTCGGTTGACTGTTATCTCTATTTTTGTGCTAAAAATATATAATTGAGGAGTGTGAAAAACTTTCCTTTGTGTTTATAGTACATGACAAACTATAAAGTGGCGTGAATAAGTTTTCTACAATGTCGAAATTCGAGGATAATCCGTTTAGTGATCCAACCATAGACAACCCATTCGCAGTAAGTAGTCCTACGCTGATACGAAAATTATTTGTTTGCCTATTATTGTTGTTACATTGAGAATTGTTTCCAGGACCCTGCGGTGCAGCAGGTTGCCAGAAGTACTAATAATGCTACACGAGGTCTCGACGACTACAATCCCTTCGATGGCCAACAAAATGCAAATCAAGCTACGGTACATGTCCATTAGTCATTAGTGGGATTTTTGTAGGTGTCGATACGCGCAACGGTATCTTTTATAGATATCGGTGTAGCAAAACCTGTGTAACACAATTATTTAATTGTAGAATCTCGAATTTTCTTAAATATGTTCAATTCTGTGTGTTGATGATCTCTGTTCTGAGATCCATTCTCATGATTTTTTGTTGTGACAACTTTAATAGAGCACATCAGCACACAACATCAAAATATGGCTTTGTATTTGTTTAGCCACAGCCCCCACAGCAGCCTTCGCAGCCTGCGATCATGCAAGCAGTGTCACCTCCGGTGAGCGGGCAGTACACACGTCCTGCTCAACCACAGGCACAGTCCCAACCCCCACAAAACTTCACTACGGCTGACTTTCAGGTACTTAGTCATACATAATGTGTCATGTATTCAACATAATTCCTGGAAAATATATAAGGATAACATACATCATTATTAAACAATAATAAATATACACAACACATTCTAATCTAATTAAATAGCCACATAAAGATAAGAACTAATCCATTAATTAAAGGAAATACAAATTAATTAAGACATTATATTATATATACTAAAATAGATTATCCTATTTTGTAAAATTAATTTAAATTTTAGTGCAATATATATTCATTCTTTAACTTATTGTATTTAATGTTATGTTTCCATCTACTTAAGCAGTAATGACTACATCGATTTTGTCAAATGAAATCATTAAAAGATATTTTTCTTAATATGTAGGTACCTAATAATGTTATTGTGATAAATAATCCTTCATCTCTGCATTCATGTTTTTGTTACAACTAGAAATCTGAACAATTCATAATATATTTCAAACAACAAAAAACATTATGACTCATTAGTTACTTGAAGAGAGCACTAATCTAATTGGAGGGAATTCCAAATCTTATGATAAACATTTTGAAAGCTAGTATATTTTACATACTTTTGTTTTTGTCTTTACTTATATTTAGGTTCTACTTTACAGTTCTGTAAAGATATAAAACCTTTAACTTTTTACTTAAGTAGTAAATGTAAACAGGATATAAAGATATCTTATATACACTGCTATCATAAGTGATATTTCTAGTATTAAGTAAATACAGTACAAGATTACAGTACCATATATTTAAAAATGAAATCTATTATTTATATGATAAGATAAAAGCAATGACTAACTTTGAAAAGTGAATTATACAAAATAGCAATCAACTTAGTAAACAACACCTGCACATTTAAACAATGTTTTTGCACGCTACTAATATGCACTTTGCTTTTTTCAAAACACACAAAAGGAGTTGAAGGTAAGCACTTGGTAACATTATGAATCACCTTTGTATTACTAACTGTAACTTAATTATCACTATGAAATCATATTTATTTTCTATCTTCTTTATTTCATGAAAGTAACATATGTTGAACAGTATAATTAATCACTCACTATAATGACTGTATTTAAACAGAATTTACAGAAGTAATTTCACCAATTAGAGTAGTGTAAATTATTTAGCCAATTTTTCACACAATGTAGTTTTACTTCCTCACTCTTGAACAAGCTAATAGCACAAAAGTAGTGTCAAATATAATCAGTTTATCTCGTTTATAAATAGATGTTGTTGTGCACATATTTAAATTGCTCAATTAACTGTCCAGTGCTGTGACGAAGTACTCGCAGTAAACACTATTGAAACACCCACACGATCTTGTGATTCCAAATTGCAGTTGTGGGCGTAACTTTCCGCTTTAGATTAAACTCAAACTTAGATCAGTTTCAACAGTGAGTTGTACGGGTGATATAAACGTAATGACTGATTTACAGAGAAGGCAAGAGGAGTTAGAAAGAAAAGCTGAAGAGTTAGCGCGGAGGGAAGCGGAGCTGCGCGCTGGATCGGCCGGCCGACGGAACAACTGGCCACCACTGCCTGCCTTCTGCCCCATACAGCCATGTTTCTATCAAGACATCAATGTGGATATACCACTGGAATTCCAGAGGATCGTGCGCCACCTCTACCACCTATGGATGTGTGAGTAATCTGCAATTTTCTTATGAAACTGTTATCTTATTTAACTTTTAAATCTATAGATATTTTTGTTTGAATATTTTTACTATAGATGGAAGAACTCATTGTTACTGGTGCGAATAATAACTTTTTTATTCCAGTCCACGCCTTGGTTCTAACACTGAACATAATTGGCGGCATGTCACTGATGTTCGCTGGTAACGGTTTCACGACGTTCGGTCTATCAATCCTGTATTTCATACTGCTGACGCCCTTCAGTTTCGTCTGCTGGTACCGGCCGATCTACAAAGCGTTCAGAAGTGACTCCTCCTTCAACTTTATGGTGTTCTTCTTCATATTTCTGTTCCAAATCATCATTACTGTTGTGCAGTCCATTGGATTCAGCGGTGGAGGTTCCTGGTAAGTGTATTTCTCTTTATGAAATAATCATTTATGAACTTTGTTTAACCTTTAATCATGGTAATTCGAGATACAATAGGTACGCGTTCGCTTGGGGTGTGATGAATTAATTATAATTAATAAAATATACAAAATAAGTTCTATCTACTTGGTAAATAGTCACTATCTAGATGTGAATCTAAGAATGAGCTTATTTATTGATTTGAGCCACTTCAACAATAATACCAACATAGGAAGTAGGTACCAATTAAACTGAATTCATCAATTAAATAATGTACAACTATGCAGCTTTAATTCAAAGGCTCAAAGTTTTTTCATTCGAATATCACTTTTATTGAGTCTATTTTTATCTTTTATTATTAAGATAGTTAGACTGAGATAGAATTAGAATATTTCTAAACAAACTACAAGGGCAAGTCTAAAACAACACATGCTGAATGGTATCGCTTCTAGTCCTATGGTCGGATTGTTTACAAACATTTCACATTAACCTCATCCTGAATACACATAGATATAATAATAAACTTGCTTTTTCCGGTTCATCACATCATCGGCCCTATAAGTGCCCACTGCTAAGTAAAAACCTCTCTCACACGGAGAAGGTTTGATCATTAATCACCACACTCGATCAAGGTGGATTTTCGATTTCAAACTTAGTCCAAGTTTCCTCACAATGTTTTCCTTCACCGTGTGTCATTGGTACTTGCCAGGTTTCGACCCGCAATCTCATGAATTAGAACCGAGTGCCTTAGTTTTCGGGCCATCACGATTTTTCGGCTATGTTATATTATTCCTTCTATAACTGGAAGTATTAACACGGAAAAGAATAAGTTTTCTAAGAATTTTATATTATACTGATCGTTTTTACAGTGGACTGATCACCAGCATCGGCGCTTTCAAAACGAACGTTGCAGTCGGAATCATCACTTTGATGGTCACCATTGGATTCATTATGTGTGTCGTCGTTGACGTCATGTTAATGGCAAAGGTATGTATAATATAATTGTAATATAGCACGTCAATAATCCACAACAGCTCATTTCTGGGTAATCCTGCTCTACGCCGAAAGGGTTTGACATGATTTCCGAGTTTGTAGTTAGGGTTGAAGATCGCAAAAAATGTTCAGGTTTATATAGTGGTGCTACTGCAGTTCTATTCTTTATTGTCTCTTACGACACCAGCTAGAAAAGCCGTGATAAATGAACTCTACGCCGTCTCCATACGACTCTTCAATTTTCAACCGACATTCCTTTGATTAAGTCTCAGATTGTAATAACATGATACTTGAGTTAGCCAAATTATTTCGGCAATCACAAGAAACCAATGAAATAGGTAAGTGTTGAAGTTAGGTACTTGACGAAAAAAGTCGAGACGATACATACAAAATTCTTAGAAATCTGTCGATTTTATAACAATTCGAAAGAATACTTTTTCTGATTTGTGTCGCTGTCAAGTACTCAAATAGCAATAGCAGATTTTGCATAAATTAAAACTACGTAGTTCTTGCGCTATGCTATCCATTTTACGCTTCACGGTTGAGTCACAAAGGTAAAATGCTTTACGCACTATGCATCCGCTTGGACTGTGGTCAGTTTAATTATGCTCCAGTAATTTCTTATCCCGCTATACCTAATCGTTGTGTATACATTATAATTGCAAAACATATCATCATAGCTTTTGACATTACGCTCAAGCGTTTTTTTTTTCATGGTATAGGTCGACAAACTATCGTATCACCTGATGGTAAACCTGATGGTAAGCAATCGGCGTCGGCCATGGACAACTGCATCACCAAAGGAATATTTACAACAATATATTACAACTAGCTCCTCTCGCGCGGTTTCACCCGCTGCTCCATTTGATCGTAGAGTGATGTTTTATAGCCTATAGCACTCAGGAACATTGTAGCTATCTGTCAGTGAAAGAATTTTGGCAATCCGACCAGACAGCGGTTCCAAAGATTACCCCCTACATACAAACTTACAAACATACAAACTTATTTTGTGTGAAATCGCAACATCGTCTCCGTCAATTGTTCATTCATCATCAAAAAAAAATAACTTTATTATCTAATCATTGTTTTGAAAAATAAATAATTTATTTATGATATAGGAAAATACCCAATAGCGAAATGCATTTAAAATCAACGTAATACCGAGTTCACGCGAAGGTTAAAGCATTAATTAGTAAATGACAGAGAACAATACAATTCAATGTAATGAAATATGCATAGAACTATTAATATCGTAAATGTTCGACGTGACTAAATACCTCGTCAGGTTGTAATTGACTGCGACAATTCTAGCACAAGGTCCTGCGATGTGTTACTTGCTTATTTTATTTTATGAAATGAGATTATCAATTCCTACAGTACCCTACAGATATGACTGTCGCGGGTTACAACTTTTTGTGTGATCTACAAATAGTTATTCCGTGTCTGGGTCTCTGGGTGTAATGCATGTGAAATTGACATCGTATATTTGTAAAGGCTCACACACACACGACACAGGAGAAAATCTTAGTTTTAAATATTTTTGTAAAGGAATGAAAATATGTTCTCTCGTCTCTCTCGCTATTCTAAAGGTTAGCAAAATGTCGATACAATAAAATAATTGTTCTAATTATTTAAAATTTAAATACCTACAACACATTTGTACCAAAAAACTCTATAGTAGTATATTAGCATCAATAAAACATTATCATCAAATTCTCTTGCGCTACAGAAAGTTACACAAGATAAGGAGTTGACGAAACCAATACTTTTGTATAAATAGAATGAATATTAAAGCGATATAAAACATGGAATTTAAAGAAAAATGTTGTGTTCATAAACAGGTTCATCGCATCTACCGGTCAACGGGCGCTTCCCTAGCGAAGGCGCAAGCAGAGTTCACGACGGAGATATTGCGCAACCAACATGTTCAGACAGCTGCCTCGAGCGCCGCGGCCGCCGCCGTCAACGCGCAGATCGCTAACGCTAACCGGTATTAGTCAACGGCCAACGTATAGCATGTGAGTGAACTGTCTTTTGAATATTGGCATGATTAACTTTGGCGCTAAGCACACAGGGGACATGTTAATTTGATCGCGAACGATATGTGCCATGTCATCAGCTTTTAAGGGCACATTGCTAAACAAATGCCTCTTCCCACTCGGAGAACTAATGAAAATTAGTCAATATGATTGCCCGAGGTGTTTTAGCGTTTTTAGACTTGTAATTAGAATTATAAGTCCAGATTTTCTCACAATGTTTTTCTTCACCGTATGTTTTTGGGGTCTAAATATAAATAAAAAGCACATCTATGTATAACTTTGAAAAATACACACTGGTATTTTCCAGTTTTGAACCCTCCGCATTTCCGAGATCGAAAATGTAAAGGAAATCCAATACTAGGAAAATGTAAAGGAAATGCAAAGGAGCTAAAAAAGAATGCCTGTCAGACATATTTTATCTATGGTTTTGCTGGCAAAATGATTGCCCGGTCTGCCGTGTGATTTGCGTCACTGTGTACTTTGCATGAATAAACTGCTTTGTTTATTTTTTTATATTGTAATACTAACATTGATAATGTAGTATGAATGTATAGATAGATACCTATTTATTATATTTCACATCATTTCCTTTATTTTATGGTGGTATGGTAAATCGAATGCTGTTTAATTATGTAAAATCAATCATCGAGTTGATCGATCAAAGTCGATGTTCAATATTTATCGCCTGGTACTGTGCGTGGATGTGCATCGTGTTTCTGTTACGATATACGCATATTTATTTACCCTTGTTTAACTTTTTTACGAACCTTATTTAGGTTTTTTGTTCATATTTGAGCATGCATGGCATTATTAAAATCAGGTGATGTGTACATATATAATCAGAATAACAAGTTGTTTAAATGGTTTACTAATTTTGCAATATTTTTCTTAACAAGTGATTCGAATGTATACCAATCTGTTTATAAAATTAAAGATACAATAGTGATCATAATTAGCTAAAGCATTAACTAATCGATTATTGAGAATGACTTGGTTGAAATTTTTTTTGTTGATAATTTTTTGTAACGCTTGTTGTAATGCATGTAAATTGTAAATTGAATGATAGGCTATGGAAGATTATATTGATAAAGTAACAAATCACAATTTATCTAATCTTGTTGCATGCAATGTATATTTATTTACAGATATATGTATATAAAAGTCGTATAGGTCAGTACCGGACTTCCACAGTCTACCAAACGCGAGTTTGAAGATATCGGGTTTCGACCCGTTTTGTAGCCAAGTCCCTTATGACACTTCCGACGCATGTATGTTGAACAAAGCATTTTTTATTTAAATAATAATATTATTTTGTTAACAGGTCTTACAGTGTGGAATAAATGTGTCGCTGGAGTCTGCATATCGAGATAGTACGCAATACCTTCATCAATCAAGATACCTATAGTATTCTTCTGATATTAAAACAAACATATTTGCATATTCTCGGACACAGACATTATTGTCGCGAATTATTATTATAATGTCCATCGCGTTTTATCATAAACTTGTATTCTACCTAAAGTGCGATCAAATTTAACGGCAGCTTGGGGAATACAAAGCGTTCTTACTTCACTGCTCGCATTATGAATTACTAAACATAGAACATTTTATGTGATTGGTGTAAAATCAGTTCATTCGTGATATCGTACAGTTTTGAGGTAGCCCCGTGTGTTGGAAGTCTCGGCCAAAATGTCCTATGGCTGTGTAATAATTGTTATTTAAACAATTAATTGAACTAATTTATGCAAAGTTTGGCGTTTCAATTATTAATTAAATGTATAGTGCAACACCTAATAGAGTTATAAGTAGTTTTCTATCCAACTGTTGTGTTAATAATGGAACTTCACTGTTGTCGTTTTCATTAAAATAAATGTGATTAAATCAGAATCAAGACTATTATTTTTTCATCTCTATTTTTTGTCGCACTGTACTTATTAGACAGCATTTGAATATTTACTAAGATAATGATAACGATATTTATTCAATAACGATATATTATTACGCCACTAATTAGTTATTTTGCTAGCTGTAACGATTACTTTTAATCGACATGAGCTTACGAACGCTTTAAGATCTACGTACCTACTAAACGTGGAATACACATAATAGTGTTTACCAGGGTTTCATTATTGCTGAATGTCTATTTCATTACTCATAAAGCGGGTGATATTTTTGTACACAGATTTTGCTTAGCAAGTTCTTCGTAAATTGTCATCTCTTGCTCTTAGTAACTTGCATGTATCTTGATGTCGTCTACTAATGGTACATACTGCATAACTCGCCATCGGGCGATTATTCAAATTAAATCATCGTTTGTTTGCAAATAAACTGTTGTTTACTTTTTAATAGTTGTATTTTTAAATATTTTGTTAACATTCCAAAAATATGATATGTAAATAATAAATAAATATCCTTTGAATGTTTAAATTTAAAGTTTAATGAATGTTTAAAAGTCTTCATGTAACATCGCTAATAAATGTATTGTATTTGGACCATTTACTTAATCGTTAGTGTTTCCAAGTGTGTGACTCCCTCTTGCCCTGCGTTGAGACTATCTATTAGATGCACAAGACTTCGATTTTAGTATTTATCGTTGTATAAATATATAGTGTAAGTTGGTAAACATTTAAGCATATTATTAACTAGTCAATGGACTAAACAGCTTCGGGAACTAATACAAATACAATAGATGCCGCTTGCGAAATGTATCTTAGTAAAGATGTGACCGCCCATTATTGGGGCGCGACGGTACGTACGTAGGTATGTTATGTATAATCTGGGCCTAGCATAATGTAAATTACTTATTTACCAGACCGTCCTTACCCCAGATAAATGGTAAGCGAAGGCGTGTAGATTTATCTAAATGTTTAAACTGTTTTGTAACGATTAAGTCATGTTATAAACTTATGATTAATAATAAATATAGTTTCAGAAATTACTCTTTTATTTCCTAACACTTCTGAAATAACCCCAAGATATTGTGCATTAGGTTATAAGTTTTTGTACAGGACAAGTAAACGACCGAAATGTTTAAAAACACATTTTTCATACGTTTCGTTATCTTGAGACATTCAATAGACATATATTTTTTTTTGAAGTTTTCAATTTCTCCATGTATAATTGCAACATTGAGTTATTCGCGTATTTTCTCATTTCACGGAGAATTTGTGATTGAACGAAAATTTTTATTTTGTTCTAGTTGGGTCCACTGCTAATAGTTCCCGACACTATAGGTCCACAGGTTTTAATGCGGTATAATAATAGAATATTGTTTGTGAATTATTCTTATTTTATTCCTTTGTACATACACTAACTATTAATTGACATAATTTCTTTATACATACATATGTATGTATAAAGAAATTATGTTATTATATATAACAATATTGATGAGAAGGAAGCAATAAAAAGACTGTGATACTTTCATAATTAATTTTAATAACAAATTCTTCAGTTTGTCCTATTCTAGCTTTGTTAAACCCTTTTACTTTAATTTACTATAGATACAAGTATATCTCGAGCATTCAACCACACGAGGTGTTTGCTCAAAGGACAAGCATGGCTCAAAAATGTATGACCCTGCCCCCACACTCATAGCACAATGCTAAAGTGCTTTTTATTCAACGCATTATATGAAAACGAAAAAAGTACATCGATTTAAAAGATAACAGAGTGACATCCGGTTTCTGAAAGGCTTGTCAACGCCAAAATTAACTAATCTCCTGTTAAATCTCTTGTCAAGTCATCTGATTGGTTGTTGATAATTCAGTCAACCAATCAGAAGACTTGACAAGAGATTAAATTGATTTTAACATTGATCGGCCTTTCGGAAACCGGGTGTAAGTCACAGTTTTTTTTGGGTTTAATAACAACACGCTGATGTCAGGATGTGTTGTGGCAGGGTGGTGGCAGTGTCAATACACATCTTTCTAACCAAGGGTGGTATTGAAGGCATTGAAGTCAAGTGCTTTCAGTTTCCAGTATACAGTTGGTTTTTCCAAGGTTGCGGGGCAAGCGCAATAAGCTATTGCTACCGCGGTCTCAGCCTGGATGATAACGTGGCGTAGCGATTCATTTCATATGAACTTTAAAATGCTACAAGGTTAGAGTACAGGTACATTTTGAGTACAACATTGTTTAACTTTGCGCAACCACATTTACATACTGTACAACATACAAGTTGTGTTTAAATACCGTCAATCCGCATTTCAAAATCTTTTACATTAACATTCTACATACTGTAGATAGGACGAAGTGTATATCATCTATAACACTAGTTATAGACACCACATTGCTGTTTGCTGTGATTAACCCGTTTTATATGACGACGAATTACAAGTACTGAGCTAGATACTTAGATATTATGTTTGTGGTTGGTTAGCATGTGCATGTGCACCCAGCCGGGCAGGATCTTGGCTAGGGTAGTGGAGCGCTAGAGGGGCGGGCGGTGGAGGGACTCCGGGAACACCAGGCACTCCAGGCACACCTCCACCCCAACTAGGCCAGCCTCCGCCACCATAATGATGCAAGTTGAAGAAGTCATTTGGACGGTTCGGTGGAGGCGGCATCTAAAAAACAAAAAGAGTACACTATAACTTCCTGTCGTATGAATAATAAGATGGGGGTCTGTCTCTAATAGTTCTTTACGACTAGTTCACATATTAGATTTGCACGAATGAAAGGGAACTTTAATAAATATTTACCTGTGGTGGGAATGGATGCAAGTAGGCTGGCGGTGGGGGTAGAGCGCCTGGCAGACCAGGGACCGGCTCTAAAACTGGCGCAGTTTCATTCTTCTCGTTACCACCCTGGCGTCCTATTAAGCAGATAACAGTACATATAAATAAATTGTTTTAAAAGCAAGAACACATAATATTAGTCAATAGGAATTAATGACATATGAATGTGGGAAAGTGAATCAAAAGTACTAACCTTGAGATTTGCCCCATTTGATGGTTAGTCTTTTACCACCAATGACCAATCTATTAAATGTCTTTTCAGCAGCATGCTCTGCAGCACTCCTCGTTGTGTATTGTACAAAGGCACATTGTGCTCGTGGCACTAAAGTTAAAGACCTGAAAGTAGAAAAAGTAAGCATATAATTAGGACATGTAGTGTATGAGCTTTGGCATACATATACAGATATATTAACTTTGCCACTTTAGTGGTCATGTTCAGATCCTGCCTTAACTAGGCAGTTTTGCAATTTAAAGGAGTAGCAGTCAAATTGTGTTTCTTAAAATTCCTGTATTATTTTAAAACCGGTTAAAAGTATGAGTAAAATAAAATAATATGTAGCTAAACCTAATTAATATAGCCTGTATTATAGTTATAATATACCTAATTAACCTATACTCATCTATAGGGGGACACAAAACTGGCTGAATGCTTTATCCTTCTATTTGATAATTTGATTATTATTGAAAGAGATAATTTAAATAGTGCATTAGGAGTTTGGTCTTTTGACATTCAATACAAAAGACTGTGTGTTGTAGTGTTATTCTTATCAGCTCAATTATTCTTATAAGAAGGAAACAAATTGACATACCTTATTTCTCCATATTGATAGAAATGACCTCTAAGCTCATCTTCACTAATATTGTCAGGTAGATTGCCAATGTATAAAGTAGTGACAGTCTTATCTTCCGGTGGTGGCAGAGCTGGCATGGCAGCTGCACGGCGCATCAACTTCTCGGCCACTGGGTCATTTACTCCATAATATCTAGAAGTTTTATAAACAAATTGAAATATAATATAATATACAAAACATGGACCTAGTAAGTTTACTGAATCATATTGATTTAGTAAACTTAATATTTTCATTCCAGTTAGATAATGCATAGGTAACAAGTAACTTATTTGTTACAGTTGTCAAGCCTAAGTTACCATCTCCCAACTTAAGATATTTTTTACTGGTTCAAAATAAGAATCTTTGAGGAACATGAGCATTCTTAGTTTGCTTTTTTTAATGTTATAAGGTATAGTTTTACTACAAGATAAAATTGTTCATGTTTATTAAAATACAATTATTATCTGTAGAACAGAATGCCTCAAAATTATACTGTTGTTTGGAGCTCTAAAATTTTTTAGATTTTATGGTGCATCCCTATATTCAAATCACCTAACTGCATACTCATGGAATGTGAATTCAATTTGTCTGATTAGATATGAAACCCTTACCTGTCCTTGATGTTTTGGTCTGCAAGTGGATCATCAGGATCAGTGGGTTTCTCGTGGCGATACGGACACTCTTCACCTCGCCTGCACTCCCCTTTTACCCAGAATGAGCAAACATGTGGTCTATTCCGTTTGTAGTATGGAGCAGTTCTTGCCAGGCGCAGCAACAAATCGTTAGCACCTTTTGACTTTAAAGCAGAATTGCTCGGCTGTGTTGAATCAAACTTGGACATTTGACTATCTAAATTCTGAATATAATATTCTTTGTTAACTTCATTACGAGGTAGATCGTCTTGTATTTTAAGTGCGGCGTCTCGAACTTGAATCGGTAATCCGTATTCGAGATCCAGAAGGCACGTTTGGCAAACATTCTTTAGTTTAGAACAAGTCTGACATATTTCCGTCTTCTTAAAACGCATCCTCGCGCCAGGGCACCAACGAAACACAGTGAATGGCCTTGCACAAATTTTACATTCCTTGCCATATTTTTCTTTTGTCTGTAACGAAATAATGTAACATTAGTACGCGTCGATATTGATGTTACCAATTAGGCAGCATTTTATTTAAAAATGAAGCTCTATATCAAACTTTATGAAAATACCACACTTACCATACGTATGTAAGGGTTATCACCAAGACATGTCTGGCACAAGATTGGAAAGTCCTGAAGAACAAATAAAACCATATATTAGATTTATTGCATGTAAAACTAAATGAGAATAAAGACCAAAAGCTGATCCAAAAACAATATTTACCGAATCTTCCCAATTTTGGCGATTGTACGTGTTTGTTGATTTTGAAACTGCCATTTCGTTTCAAGTGCCAACAAAGCCACTATTCCTTTAAATCACTGAAACAAGGGCAATTGTTGCCCAGTGTATCAAATATACCTTTAACAATAAGTATTGGCTCAACAATAATCAACAACGGCAATAGGAAAAAAAACTAATCAACTCATTGCTGCTTGACGCCATCACGCCAGTCATAGATCATAAAATTCATAAACGATAAATATAGACTATAGACTGATAAAAGAAAAAATCCATAAACAATTCCACAGATTAGATCAACGAATTTCTAACCACCGTATTAAATAAAGTATTCTTTGTAATTTTGTATCAAAGTATTCAAAGTAGTACATACTGATTCGCATTTGTGGAAGCTTAGACTCGGCCTTGTAGTATTCCGGTCTGCCTCAACAAGATCCTTATGCAGTGTATATTTGTGTGAATGGGGTTTTAATAGGTTTTTAAGACCCCATTCACACAAAGAGATTCAACATCCAACATCGATCACGTTATCTTATTTTATTTTAAATTAGGATGATATTTATATATAAATAATTTTACATTATATTACTTAATTTGTATTAACACTATTATTCAAACTACGGGGTATTAGTAAAATATTAATCAATCGATTAGTATTTTGCTACTTGAATCTACCTAATATTATTGAACGTGTATATATAACTAGAGAATATAATCAATTGTTTTGTCAGTTACAAGTTACAACAAATAATACTATTTAAAATTTTCATTTAAAACTAACAATTAACAAGTATCAATTCATAATATTTATATTCGCCACAGACAAGTATGTAGATACGACCATGGATACCACATATAAATTCGCTTAATATATATACTCTGTTGTTTTTATTCCATCTCTTATCTGTAATGTCAAATTTGATTGAAATATTTCTTGCGGATTGTTGATTTTCTACAACTTGCTTGAAAAAATCAAATAAAGCAATTTATTAATACACATAATCATTACATCATTGCACACTTAGGCTGCCAGAAGATTCAATTATGTCAATAACAACATTGGTGAGTACTGATATTCTGTAAAAAATGCAGTTGATTTCATTGGCATAATGAACATTAATAATATTTCTCTTCCTTATTTCTAGTATTATATGCAGTTGAAGAAAGAAAATGCTCATGAAGATTCTATTTGGTGTTGTGGTTGGAGTAATATAGAAAAAGAAAAACCTAAAGAAACTGAAAATGACGACGTTGACCCTACACAGTTCGTACACCTAACCTACGTTGGATCATTTTATTGGGTTTTAATTCTACTACCAACATTTTAGAAGTAATACATTAATTATTACTAATATAATATGATTTTGCAGAGACACAAATAATGAGCCTAATTCTGAAAACTACTTGATTACTGGGGGGTTGGATGACTTGATCAAAGTGTGGCAGCTTGAGAATGGCAAACTGGAAGAGAAACATCAGTTAGAGGGTCACTCATTGGGAGTCATATCAGTTGCTGTCAGTCCTGATGGAAAAAGTAAGTGCATAGTATCATATATATTGTTACTAAAATATTTCTTTTTCCTTTTGAAACTGGCAAAAACAAAAGTCTAATATCCAGCTAGATTAAAAAAAATAATTATTAAATATTCATTTCTTTCATTCCAGCTTTAGCAAGTAGTTCACAAGACTCCTCCTTAATCCTTTGGGATTTAACAAATGGTGAGAAAATTAAAACAATGGAAACAGGTCCCACAGATGTTTGGACTTTAGACTTCTCTCCTGATGGAAAACATGTAATCTCTGGAAGCAATGCTGGCAAGATCCTCATCTTTGGAGTTGAAAGTGGAAAACAGGAACAGACTTTAGATACCAGAGGGAAATTCACATTAAGTGTTGCATATGTAAGGTTTTGTCATATTTTTATTTTAAGGCCAGTTCATGTTTTGATGTAGTTGACAACATAAAAAAAAAATCTAATTTTGAAAAATTGACAACTTGTTACTATTTCCTGTAGCTTTTTTAGATTCAAAATTCTCAATTTTTTATTTAAGTATTAGTTTATGTTCAATTCTCATGTAGTGGAGTAAATTACAATAAAAACTCAATGTACTTACTTGGCAACTGCATATACCCTTTTGTAATTTTCGTCCTGCAACAAAATAGTTCAACAAAAACAGAGTGTAACAAAATGATAAGTAAACAGAAACAGTTGCAAATTTACTTCATTAAAAATAGTCCAGTTCCTAAAATTACTTATTTAATTTCAGAGTCCAGATGGCAAATACATAGCAAGTGGAGCTTTAGATGGTATCATTAATATATTTGATGTAGCTCAAGGAAAGCTAGTTCACACATTAGAAGGCCATGCTATGCCAATAAGGAGTTTATGTTTCTCACCAGATTCACAGTTACTGCTCACTGCTTCTGACGATGGACATATGAAACTCTACGATGTGTAAGTTTCATTTTAAAACTGATATCGTTTTATGTATGGATAAATATATGTGTGATGCCAAGGGATTAAATACACCTTGCAAAGTATGAATGCACCTTCTAAGTCAAGTTCAGGTCCACTAGTTATTTTCAGACTTGTGATAGATGAGAGGTTGCCAAAAATATTTCACCTTTCAATTGTGGAAATATATGACACAATCGAAGAACAAAATGTGTGTGAATGTCTTCAGATGGGGTTTGATGAATTAAATGGAAAAAAAATATTATAATCTTATCTGGCCTGGAGTAGAATAAAAAGAGATGAACTCTAATCAGTAAGGGTCTGACATGGATGGATCTAGGGTGGCAGAAGATATTTTTGATGATTTTCTTTATTTTTAGATAGTGATGTTCTAATTTTTGACAGTATTTCTTTTATATTTTCAGTGTTCATGCAAACTTAGCTGGTACATTATCAGGGCATGCATCATGGGTATTGTCAGTTGCATTTTCACCGGATGGCAAGCGTTTTGCTTCTGGGAGTGCGGATAGAACAGTGCGAGTTTGGGATTTAGATAGCATGCAATGTCAACATGTATTTAAAGAACACAGTGATCAGGTAAAATTTTTTAGATAATGAGATATTAAGATTCATCATTTGGGGATCGAGTTGATCTCTGACCTCTGTAAGTGTGGGTCTGCAGACGGTGATCGAGTGTAGCTCGCCGTCAGACCAGACCAGAACCACGCGTACAGCGCGTTGCGTACCGCGCGCGCCTCTAAGAGTTAATAGACCATCACAGACGGGGCCCTTTAGTGCTGATATTCAGCCAGGGTGTGGGGCAAGCACAATAAAAGCACCGCGGCCTCGGCCGCTGGAGCTGGACAAGGAAGGAGAAGTAGTTTAGTGGTAGTATGGTAGGGTTTTAGTCAGTAAGAGATTCCGTCACTATTATAAAATAATCTTTTGACTTTTATTTATTTTGTTTTCAGGTCTGGGGAGTAAAGTTTAATGCAGAAAGTAATAAAATTATGTCTGTATCAGAAGATAAAAGTTTAAATATTTATGACTGTCCATTATAATTTATAATGTTTAATATAACTTTTTTAAATATACCGTATCTTTTAAAATAACTTATTTTATTATGTCTTTGTACTTTGGCACGGTGACTGGGCTTCTGGCTCCTGCACAACATTCGTCACGAGCGGGTTCAAGTTCCTTTCCTGCATGGAACAAGTCTGTGTGTGATAAATTGTTAACGTCCTCGCAACACAGAATTACCTACATAATTGTATATTTTCAAAGCAAGAAGGCAATAATTCCGCCTATGTACTAACATTTGTAGGCATATATAAGCTTAGATAAATAAAAAGCATAACAAAGAATATGATTACTGAGTGTCGAATTAGCATAACTTATGAAATTAATAATGTATTTAAATGACGAAAACAGACTTAAAGAAACGAAAAAAAATATACCTAGACGGTATATATAAGGTCGAATTAAAGCCCATCCTTTTGAAACAAGGTACTAGGAATTTTTACCGTTTTAGATATCACACGACCATCGCTGATGCCTTAATGGCTTTATTATTAACTACTATACAAAAAAGATGGATAAGATTAAGGTAGCAATAAAATATGACTCAAAATATTTCTAAACGAATATTTATCCATCGTAGATTTAGAATCGCGTTCCAATATTGAATGTGTAAAACGAATTCCAATATTGCATTACGAACAATAGTCGATCTCTCTCTTTCTTGCACAAAAATGTATACTTTGTCTCTTTCAATTGCAGTGTTTACAACATCACTAGATTTAAGCAATCAATGTCAATAAAGTCCAAACGGCTTTGATTGCTGAATTTTTCAAACAATACATATTTATTATATTTTCTATCCGCGTAAACTTTAATTTACATTAAGTACATCCATCAATATCTTCCTTTAAATACAGACTCAACAACTATGCCAGTAAATACAATAGTAAGTACTTAGGTCAATAGGTTATTTTATTTGTTTGTGCGGTTTTTTGTTTGATTTGTTGTATAAAAGTATTCAAAATAAAGTGTTGTGCATTGGTTTCCAGTATTCTATTTTGTTGAAAAAAGAAAATGCCCATGATGACCCAATTTATTGCTGTACGTGGGCCAAAATAAACACATCAGGAGATTCGGAGTGAGTACTATTTTAATTGCATATATTTTCGTTATATTAATAAAAACATGCATGCACACTATTGGGGTATGAAGAAACAATATAATACTCCCTGATTCCTATAATCTTCAGTAAATTCTATATCCATTGTGCATCCTACTCCAGAGTTGACTGCACCCGGCTTTGTTAATGTTTGTCAATGATAAGTGTATGTTTTCGTAGCTACAGTAACCGGCGTAATGCGCTTAGAAAGTTTTATACAAAAAAATATAAGTAAATAAAAAATATAACTTTAAATAAAAATAAGACAGTATTCTTATTTATATTGGGCTTGTAACCTCATTTCAGTGTTTAAAAACTTTGACCTTGACAATGTTTTTATAAATATGTTTCATTCTAGGAACGCTTCAAAGGATTTCATAGTAACGGGGGGGCTGGATTGCTTTGTGAAAGTGTGGACACTACAGAATGACAGGCTACAACTAATTCATACATTGAAAGGACACAGAATGGCAGTGGTGTCAGTAGCTGTCAGTCCAACTGCACCAAGTAGGTCTTATTTTTATCCCTTTAATCATTTTTATCTTCATAGATTACCTAGGTCAATTAGAAGTAATAAAAAAACCTCTGAAACAGTAATCTACAAATATTTCTGTTTCAATTTCAATTCATATTTAATTCTTTTTAACATTTTATTTTTTCTCATTTGTATTTTACCTATTTTGTAATTCACAAATACACATAGTCTCATTTACACCTTACCCAGAAAAACAATTTGAAGACACCCAACTATAGGTTTAAGGAATACATTCCCATCTCAAAACATAATTGAAACATGAGTAATTAAAGTTTCTTTTCCTATTTCTTTAGTAATAGCAAGCTCATCGCTGGATTCAAGCCTAATATTTTGGGACCTAGCTATGGGGAAGATGTTGACAGAAATACCAACAGGTGCTAGCGATGTTTGGAAGATGGCATTTTCAGGGGATGGGGAACATCTTTGCACAGGAGGACATACAGGCAAGGTTCATATATATGGAGTAAAGAGCGGAACCTTGGACAAAGTACTGGATACAAGGGGGAAATTCATTTTGAGTGTTGCCTGTGTAAGTATTAATTGCTGATAAGAATCTTATCTTGCTATGTTGCGTTTCCAATGTGTCCAAAGTGCATTCCGCAAATTGTGAACGCACACCCACACAGTTGAAAATCTTAGTGAGGTATATGTTTTAAAAATAAAACATAGGCTTAAGGTGGTTTTATAGCGTGTGATGTCTTTTGTTAGAGTGGCAACTCCAAATACATAGCAACAGGGGCGGAAGACGGAGTTCTTTGTATACTGGATGTGACACAAGGAAAGGTGGTACACACGGTGGAGGCGCACACGAAACCCATACGGAACCTTGCCTTCTCACCGTGCAACAAGCGGCTAGCCACCGTCTCGAACGACGGATTCGTCAAACTTTATGATGTGTAAGTAAAACCTTATTGATAATTGTTTTACTTTTTAATTATTCGATTTTTATTAACTATCTATTAGTCAAAAATAATAACCGATCTCAATTCATTTAATCTATCCCACCACAACCGTTTTGTAAAAATCTAGCCAAGTCACGATGGAGCTGCTAGTTTATCTCTTAATAAGTAATGAAACAAAGTCGTGCCAAGTCTAGGGTTCCTTATTGTGATTTCATTATTATAATAGTTAATGTTGCGTGACTAGGCCGTTGAAGAGTACACAGGGGTACAAAACTAGGTGCTCCATGACACCATTGCACCGATCTGTCGCCAGAACCGTTACCCAAATCAATATAAAACTGATAGATTTAAAACATTATTTAAGTTCAGGCACTAAATATTGAAAAACAATCTTTCCTGAGATTTACCAGGGTACTGGGAACATCCTTATTTCTTTAAAATTAGAACTTATTCTCCCGTCGCTTCACGTCGATCTTGCAAATATTAGACCTATAAAGTTTTCGTCGAAATCACGTTGATACTTTTCTTTTAAATTCAACTAAAATACATCCTCATTTTAATCTAAATAGAAAGAAAAGACTAAATTAGTAGTTTTTCGTTAAATTTTTTAACGACAATTTGAAATGGAGTTGTTCTACTAGGTCCTAGGTATCTACCCAATATGTAGTCGTGTTTTATATTCTTACAAAAGACACTAAAACTATTATTTTTCTATACAGAGCTAGTGCTGGTCTGCAACATACGTTGAACCTCAAGTGTTGGGCCGTCGGGTTATGTTTCTCGGGTGACGGCACGCGCATAGCGGCGGCGGCCGCCGACGGTACCGTGCGTGTCGTACTCACGGATGGACTGATTGTACTCAACACTTTCCAAGAACATACTGATATGGTGAGCAAACTTAATTTGAGAATTTTAGTTCTTTTCGTAAGGTATACTAAAAGTTAGTATATGCCGCCGGGCAAGGCGTTTGGAGCCGGCGGCTGATGAGCTTTGATACGTTATCTAATCGACGGCAAAAGGCGGTGTACAAAATATTTGGTTTAATAAATATTTAAATAAATATCTACTTACTTATCTATTTTAATAAATATGCACTATTCTTTATCTATAATCATGTTCTTGTCATTTAGAAAATCTTGAATGCTTTAATTACATTTATTTATCAAAATCTCAAATAATTTTCTTTTGAAAGACACTTGGAAGTTTATTGCAAATTTTGATAGCCATACAATATAAATTTCTACTATATTATGTTACGCGTTGGCTAGCTACATCTAAAATCAAATGCCGGCTGGGACTGTTGAAAAACCAGCTGCAAAATATATTTGAGCTGTAACAATACCTTCACTAACTCCTAAAAACCACGCTAATAATTTATATACAAATAAAAAATGGAACAGATGAAAATAAATTGTAATTATGTGATTTACAAATAACATTGCGTGTTTACTCAATAATTATTTCCTCCACAGGTTTGGGGTGTAAACTTCAACAGTAGCAATAAGAGGCTAATGTCTGTGTCCAAAGACAAGTGCATCAACATTTACGAATGCCCGCCATTGCCGCCAAAGACTGAGAAAAAGGGTGCCACCCTCGTAAAATAATTATGTAATTTATCTCTACACGTACCTAATTTTCTCTATGTTTTAAAGAGGAAATATTTGTATGATTCTTTATTAGCATTGGATAGGTAAATTTCGACCTTTCGGGGAATAACATAGGATACTTTTTATCTCGAGTTTCCTTTTATCGTGATCGACTCGAGAAAAATATTCTAAATTCCATGTAAACTAAATTGCGGTCGGCGAGAACCTATCCAGTGCAGTATAATTAATTGTAGTGTCATTTTTTGTATTACCTGATAAGGTAATTATTACTTGCCCTTTTATGTATCTATCTACAAATACTTATGTACTTCATGACAATTTTAAGTTACAATATACACATTAACACATTTACATTAAAATCTGTAGATAATTATGTATAATCAACATTACTGTAATTTAAACTGCAGCATCAACGTATAAATCATAATATTGTATCTTTTTTACTATTCATCGTATCTTTTTTATTTATGTTAGTAAGTAATTGAAATAAAATACATAAATAAATGTCAAAGTATTAAAAAAACGCTTTTATTTCAATCATTCTCCATGTTTGAAAACATTCATGATATTTTTACACTTAATACGAAATCGAATTGGGTCGTTTTTGTCAATGCAAATAATAGAATAAAATTTACCATATTTTCGAAATATGCAAACAATATTTATATATCAATACTTTACTTTCGGGTGGTCGCCTCGAAACAACACATATATTACCAATTTAAGCATTTATTAAAAGGTCTGATGATATTAATAATCCCGAAGTATATTCCAAATCATTCAAAAACTTCTGTGAAATCTCTTTTGACCCGCAACTTATGAAGTCATCGTATTTTAGCGCGAAACAATATAGGTACTTTTATTTTTGATATAAAATTGCTAGAAAATAAAAAAATATGTACCTAAGTATATAATAATAAACATATAAAAGAAACTGTTCAGAGTTTACCGTCCATTATTAAAATTGGTGTAACAAGTAAACAATGTGTTCAATAAAATTGCAACAGACGCCAACTTTTCACCATACCATTACATGGCCTAGATAAGCTTAGTTATTAGTATAAATATAATATTGTAGAAGTACAGTTAAATGTTATGGTAAGTACGGCCATGTCTATGGTATAGAATGCGTGCAGGGGTGCGCTGTCCCCACGCTAAGACGGGGAGTCTGACTCGGCAGTCGGCTTGATTAATTTTCGGCGGTAAGAGGATTTCGCCCGTCGCCATATTATACTCGTTCTTTGCCTAGGATTTGCACTCTTATAGCTAGATTAGAACAGCGAAATGCCCTCTACTGGACAATTCGTGTCGTAATGTAGCTGACTACTGACTAGTTCGTTGTTTTTTTACACTTTCCATGGATTTAGATTTATTGGATATCATCATTAACTTATTAATAGATAATTTATGAACCTACCGTCAACTCTCAGAATACAGAACAAATTCTGTATTCTGAGCGTCAACTAAAGGTTGCCACAGCGCAGTACTTGCTCTGTATTGTATGGTGCTTGGCTACGAAAAGTTAACTTAAATGGTAAGGTGGTAAAACCATGAAATTTATTATGTAAAAAAAAAATTATAATCCTGTGCCGTAGCGGTCACTTAGTTTTGATTAGTATATCGTGAGACCAAATTAATTTATTGAAAATACCTAACGATTTACTCGCGTGAATAAACAGAGAAAAGATCTGAGTAGGTACTAGTTTCAAGTCACAATGGGACTCTTATTCTTGAGCAGAGTCAGCAGTCATGAATAAATTAAACTCAATCCTATTTAGATATTTTACATTAATTGGAAGAAACTGTACATAGAGACTTATATTTTGTTTACCTACGAATACTTCCAAACCAAAAACATTTAAAAATTATCAATCTTCCTAGATATACAATTTTTTTATTTTCTATAAAAGGAAAAACCTTAAACTAACTGCATAAATTACCTAAGTATACTGTTTTTGATGTTACTACAATTATTGGGTTTTATAACTCGTAACATTACTTCACGACTTTCAAGTCCTGAAGGTTCAAGTATCAAGCGCAATAAGGTAGGTACCGGGGCCTCGGTCTGGCAAAGGAGAAGGAACGAACTGAATTTAAAACAAAAAACCTTTTATTATATACTTGAAACGTCCACTTTTCGAACTTATAAACTAGTAAAAAGTCAACCAGGTTTTAGCGTCAACATTTCAGCAACACAAAGGAGCTTATTAAATAATTATGTTTTTTGTTAACTTGTTGTAAGTATCTATCAAAGCATTATTGAGCTGTTGTCAAGCTAAATACATAAAGGGGAGGCATTTATCAAAAATATTTACATTGGTAGCAAGTCAATTGGTTTCGGCTTAATTTGCGGGGAATTATGCGGTGCGGCCCGCCGGGAAATCAACTTTACATTCAATTTGCCGCCGTGCACAGATAAAAACCAATCTCTTCATTTTTACCTGTCGCGGCGAGAGAATAAACCCTCTTTGATGTTCATGAATATTTTTATAAAAGTTTGAAACATTGGAAGTTGCTTTAGAATTTTAGAATGTAGGTACAGTAACGTTGCGTTATGATAACATTTCACATACTGAAATATTTGAATGGATCCTATTTCTAATGTAAAAGTGAAAATTGCCATCTTATACTTACAATAAAACTAAAAATATAAAAACAGGCATTAGATATTGTTTTTTTTGGGTATGTATGGTATCTACGTGAAATGAAGTACCTAAGTGGTTTAATAATAAGGCTTTTATAAAAAGGCTTCGGCAGGCTAATTTACGTCTTATCTGTCTATCTGCGAATATCGCGGAAGTGCTTTTAGTACCTAACAGTTACTTTTACCTATACATGTCAATTAGTGAATGTTGTCTTTGGCTGCTTCAATCACTATGTTCTTAATTGCTAACTGTTTTGTAGGGATTAGATTGATAGATAATATTGAGAGATTCGGAAATATCCAACGATATTAATAGGCGGTTGACAAGGTATTGTGCAGTCTACATACGAGTTGCCGGTGGCCGACAGCGGAGGTATCGATGTCGTAATCACGGTCGCGCCGCCGGCAGCGCCATTCAATGAGATGAAATCACTATGCGGCTCTATGAATAATTCAGGTGCGGTCCGACTCCTCCCTCCCTCGCCTCGCTCCATGCACCCCCACTATCGATATTGATATAAAGTTGACAGAATATGTATGTCCAATAGTTCCAATACTCTGTACCCAGTACAGTCGGTCTCACTCACCTAATTTGACGTAGAACCTACATTTATGTCTACGTGATTGTATAGGTTTTGGCGTCTGTAGTTTTCGTTAAGTCAATTTATTCAGATATGCAGTTATGTTTTGACATTTATAGCCAAAATAATAAATAATAATAAAAGTCAGAAGCTTAGGTACCTATTAAACTAGGTACTTACAAGATAGAAAGTTTTGAAGGTCCCATGAGTTAAACTCGATCGTCCTTATTACAAAACAAGATTTATCTTTAGCCTAGGTTTAAACTATCTCTCAGGTGTCAGGTTTTGTATTTTGAATCTTATTCTCACGTAAGTAGGTAGGTACCTTTTGAAATACAAAAATGGGCTCTACTTTTTTTTAAATACTGTGTCGTGGGTGCGTTTACAAACATACAATTACACATACTTACACCACACCCAGACCCTGATCCCGTCAATTATCTAGTCATAGACTAAAGAAAAACTTAGTTTTCTAATAAAACTGTACTTATATATTTAGTAGCCATAAAATACGGAACCGAATGACAAGGCCAGTTCAAGATATTCACAAATTGTTCTTAATACAACAAAAAGTCTGCATGGCGCGCAAAAAGTCGGTCGCGGATTTTTCACAGACTCATCGCACATGACGCACATCTTCGATCATTTTGTCGGCAGAGCTATAAGGACGTAGACGCTATGGAAATCGCGAAATATTGTTTTGTACATGAACTACAGAGAAAGAAGAAATACAGAATTTTGGGTTCATCCTATACTTTCGGAAATAGAAAATTTTGGGTTCATCCTATACTTTCGGAAAGATTACTGAAGGGACAGTTGCATACTAAATATTTAATTCTGAAACAACATACGGCAAAGTTTTTAAAATTTTCTGCGTGCGTTCACGTACTTTACGTCCAAGCATTCCCGCCCCTAGCAAATGCAGATTGCCGACTAACGTCTCAGTATATATTGTATAGTCTATAGACTAACACACTGTCTGCGTTAGCGCGCGTTGAATCAAATGTAAAATTTTTTCACACACCTTTGTTTTGCCCAAATTACACAGATTTTTTGTGCGCCGAACTTTTTACGCGTCGTGTGCGTTACTGCATATAATAGCATAGGTTCTATTTTCACAGACTAAAAAGTGCGTCACGGATAGTCTGTCGTCTGCGCAGGGCCTAATCTTTCACCGATAGATAGCTACAGTGTTCTTGGGTGCGATAGGCTAACAACGTCAAACTACGATCTGTAGGAGCCGAGCAGCGTGTGAAAACGCGCAAGAGTAGTCTAGTCTAGTCTGATTTGACCATCTAAATCAATTAGGTATGATTTTAAGAAATAAAATAAAGTGAATATAATTGAAAAATTTAATAGCACCTATTCATTCATTTCAATAAATACAACAATCTATATAACATTAGCTCCTAATTATTTAGTGGTGGTAAGAGATGGCAGGAGAGGAGTAGGTGACGTGAGCTACGGGAGCAGCGTAGGCAACCTTGGCAACTGGGGCGGCGTAGGCAACCTTGGCGAAGGGGGCGGCGTAGACTGGAGCGTGGGAGTAAGAGACTGGGGCTGGGGCGTAGGCTACTTTGGCAACGGGGGCAGCGTAGGCGATCTTGGCAACGGGAGCAGCGTAGGCGATCTTGGCGGGCTCGGCGTGGACGGGGGTGCCCTCGTAGCGCACGTTGGCGTTGAATCCGTGCTCCTTGTCGGCGGTGTACTCGACGATGCGGTGCACACCGTCGGGCTGCACGAGAGAGTACGAGCCGTGCACGGCGTCGCCTTGACGCGCCTCCTGCTGCTGCTTCACGTCACCGCTGTGGTCATCGTGCACGGAGTATGAGAACTCGTAGTGAGCGGGCGCCTCAGGCTCGGCGTACACCACCTTGCTGACGGGAACAAGGGGCACGGCGTAGGCCGCCACGGCGAGGGAGAGAACGATGACGAACTGTAAACAATCAATATGTTATATTATAGATACTCTACCCTGTTGAAGTCTGCAGTTTGATTAAATATTTTTTTATCCATCAACTTACTTTAGCGACCATGTTTGCAGATTTTTGGTATGTTGTTGCTGATTTGCGAATCAATGTACGACTGTGACAATATGTGACCTGCTACAGTTTTTATACCTGAGTGTCGCCTTAAGGTCTTGTATGTTGGTGACACGCGGTGCGCTCGCGGCACCTTCTACAATGATTGAGAGGTGAAGGTCAATGCGCTGCATTACTGAGCTACAACTACAGAATATTATACATATAGTTAGAGATAAGCACTTAGCAGTAGATGTAGGTAATCTACATTCCAAAA